ATAACCTCTCAAATCTACCCTGTCAAGCCCCCTCAGAACCTTAAATATTTCAATAAGGTCACCCACGAATTCATCTGAATTCCAAACAGCACAGGCCCAACCTACTTGTCCTTTCCTCACAAGAAAGCCCCTCCATGCCCAGGATCAATTTAATGAACCTTCTCTGGTCTGCCTCCAATGCCAGCACTGTATTCTGGGTGTAGGTGTCATCTATTTGGTGCCTTCATAGTTTTAGTAATAATTCACTACTTTCAAATTCTATCCCCTTTGAAATAAAGGCCAAACTTTCCCATTACCTTCTGAACTCGTATGCTTGCTTTTTGTGAATTATACATGAGGATCCCCCAATCCCTCTGTTTTGTAGCTTTTTGCAATCTTTCTTCATTTAAATAACATGCAACTCCTTTATTCCTCCTGTCAAATTACATGGCCTCACATTTTCCCACATGATATTCTATCCACCAAATTTTTGTCCACTCAATTAACCTTATCTGTATCCCTCTGCAGACTCTTTGTGTAAACCTTGTCTTCCCACCAATTCTTGTGCCATCTGCAACTATTCATTCTGTTGCATCATCCAAGTTGTTAATAAATATTATAAGTAATTGTAACACTGACCCCTGAGAGACTCACTCATTATAGACTGGCACCCTGCAAATGCTCCCTTATCCAATTATATCTCTGTTAACTAATCCCCTGTCCATGCTAATGTAGTATCCCCAACACAATGTGCACTTATCTTATTAAGTAGCCTTATGTGTAGTGCTTCATTGAATGGCTTTTGCAATTCCAAACATAATACATCTACTGGCTCCCCTTTATTGATCCTGCTTGTTACCTCTCAAAGAATTCTGATAAAACTGTTAGGCACAATTTCCCTTCCATTAAATCATGCTCTGTGCTTGATTATGTTATGTATTTCTAAATATTCTGCTATCAGATCTTTCATAATAAATTCTAACACATGTCATCAGTCTAAATTACACATAATTGTTACAACTCTACAGAACACATTGGCCAGAATCTTTCACTCCTACTTTTATTGCCACTTCCTGGTAGGGAACGGCAGGTAATCAGCCAGATTGGAACGGGAGAGAAATCTTCACTTTCATATCCTCCGCAGGTGCTGTCAAGGGAGCCTTAATGTGTTGTTACAATACATTTTGCAGATTGTGCAGTACCAACAGCATATGCTTGTGAAAGGAGTGAAGATGGTGGATGAACCAGCTGCTTTGTCCTGGATGATGTCAAGCTAAAGCGATGTTGGAACTGCACTCATCTGGCAAGTGGAAAGTAATTCATCACACTTCTGATTTGTCTCTTTGGATAGCAGAGAAACTTCGGGAAGATAGAAGTTGAATTACTTGCTACAGATGTCCTAGCCTCTGACCTACTCTTGCAGGCCACGGTATGTTGTATACGGCTGGAATAACTCAGTTCCTAGTCAATGATAACCCCAGGATGTTGATACTGCAGGATTCAGTGATGATAATGCCATTGAACCTCAAGGTGTCATTAGATTTTCTCATTTGGGAGAACCCATCACCCAGCTTAGGTTAGATCATCGATAAATTCTTGCTGCTTCTTTTTGATTATGAATCTTTTTTTCTTTAAACCATATAATATGAACAACTGGTAGACTTTGGAAAATGAAGAATGCCACTGAGCCTGAATCCCAATGCATGATAAAGAATTTAAAGGTTTCAGTTTGTTTTGAGACTGCAATTGAAAAAACGTATGGAAGCATTTCTTAGTGCCCATCACAAAGTTTATGATGTAGCAAAAGTGAAGAGATAAAAGGTTGTAGCTGCTCTACATTATCCTTTACTGATGCTACATTGAAGGGTACAGTGAGTACAAAATTGACAGAGCGACAGAAAACAGAGCAATGGTCAGTGGATCTGTTACGGGCTGGAGGAAGGCTTGTCGTGGAGTTCCCTGGGTTAATATTGGGACCCTTGATCTTCCTGACACAAATTAAACAATCTTGGTGTGCAGGTGATATTTTCCAAGTTTGCAGGTGACAATACACTTGGAAGAATTGTAAATTTTGAGGAGTATAGGACGTTGACAAGTTGGTGGATGGGTGGCCGATGAGATTCAATACAGAGAAGTGTGAAGGGATGGACTATGGTTGAAAGAATATTGCAAGACAATATAAAACAGGGGGTACAACTCTCAAGGAAATATGCAAAAGCATTGGACAGAGCATAGAAGCAATTTACTAGAACAGTTCCAGGCATGAGAAACTTCAGCTTGGAGGACAAATTGAAGAAACTGGGGCTATTGTCCCCAGAGAGAAGGTGGAAAGGGAATCTGATCGAGCTTTTCAATATCATGAGTGGACAGGCCAAAGTTAATAGGGTGAAGCTTGTTACTGCTTGTAAAAGAAACATGATCAAGAGGGCACAGTTTTAAAGTGTTATATAAACAAACAGAAATGGGAGAAAAAACCGTTCTCACACAACAAGCAGTTAGGGTATGGAATACGCTGCCTGACAATGTGGTGGAGGCAAAATCAATTCAGATATTCAAGAGGGTACTGGATGATTATTTGGGTAGTGATAGTGTGTAGAGCTAGAGAAAAGGCAGGAGTTTGGCACTCGATAGCGCAGGCACAATGGTCTGAATGGTCCCCCTCTGTACCGTTATATTCTGTGATTCTGCAATTCAGTAATCAAGGCATAAATGCTATAGCTAGATGCTCAATCTGGCTTTTTTTAAAATTCTAAAATAAAATATCTGCAGTGATGGCTATCAAACATCTTGAAACACTTTTCAAAGAACAGTAGCAAATTCTCAGTGTACTGTTCCACCCACCAAAATCACAATAAACAATTTGTCTGGCCACAGTTTCATTTGCTGTTTGTCTTCACTGTACTTAGTGTTCCTGAATTCAACAGCTACGTTCATTATAAAGTCTTTTTCTGAGAATGTACCAAAATATTATTTACAAAAGCAAAAGCAAAATACCACAGATGCTGGAAATTTGAAACAAAAAGAAAAACAGGATAGACAGCATCTGCGGAGCAAAACAGGCTCTAATTTTACAATAATTCACGCAGACAATTGGTGGGGGCGTTGGGTGGGGGGGCTGGAATTGCTACACAGCATGGGGCCCATAAATTCCACGGTTGGCTTCACGCCACTTCCCCTGTCCTGTACACAATTACACAGGTGTCAGCCCTAGCCTGGGGCAGTTCTCCCACCATCAACTCATTGCAGGCCTTCAATGACTAATTATTGGTCACTCAGGGCCTCTTCCCACTCAGCAGCAATTTTTTGGCTAATAAGAAGAGTTTAGGGACTAATGGCGAGTTGGGAACCCACAGCTCACCCGAATCAGGACTTTGGAGGGGCTGGCGTATCATTGACACCCTTTCCGAAATGAACACCCACAGCCTCAGCTCCCACAACCTAGCCGTCATGAATCCCACTCTCACCTCTTCCCTTTGTCTAACAGGCCTCTTCCTGGATCCCTAGTGCTTACAGTCACCAACAATTGCCATCGCTCTGGGTAGTGCTGCTGCAGTGAAGACATGTGAAGCAGTACTTTAGATGACCACAAGTTTATCTCATTGCCTTGAAGTAGAGACAATATTTGTCAGTTAGCACAGTGAAACAAGAGCTTGTCTTTTAGTGTGGAGACGCTGTTGTGTTGCAGATAGCGCACAATTCTGGCTGACCAGGAATCTCTTTTAGCCTGTTAAAGGCCAGTCAGAAGGATTTACAGGTTGATAGTCAACCATTTGGCCATGTTATGAACCCATTTTTCAAGTCCATCAAGTCCTAGCATCTGACTTGAACACAAAGCCTGCGACTTGGAGACAAGGGTGCTAACAACTGCACCACAAAATCTCCCTGATTGCAAGTTTACGAAGAGCAGAGTGTGGGATATTAGGAGTGCATTGGAATAGTCAAGTCTATAGGTAATGAAAGCATAGAAGAGGATTACACCTGTTAATGACAGCTGAGAAGGGGGTTAAGTCCAAAGCTATTGGAATTGGAAACAAGCTGTCTTTGAGGTGGCACAAATATGATATCAGCTCACTTCTGGATCCAACATAACACCAGAGTTGCAAACAGATTGATTTAACAACTGTTGCCACGGAGAGGGATGCAGTTCATAACAAAGGATTTATACTCACTCTCTAAAAGAATCTAACGGCAGATTATTTGAGAAACCCCAGATTTTGAACAATACTTTAAGTCAACTCAAAAACAAAGTTGCTGGAAAAGCTCAGCAGGTCTGGCAGCATCTGTGAAGGAAAAAACAGAGTTAACGTTTCCGGTCCTCAGAACTCAGATGTCAACTCATCTAACTTACTCACGAATGGTCAGACCCATTTCTATTTTCACTGTGCCTTGGACACTAATCGACATTAGCTGACACATCATGCAAATTTCTGTTATCATATCTAATTTTATGCACGGAAGTAAACCACACAGTTCGGTCAGACGATAAAAGAAAAGTAAATAATTTGTTCATTACTTACTTATGACTACAGTTACAAAATACAGTACCTAATATTCAGAAACACTGTCAAGATTTAGGGCTTCTGAGTATCTAAGTGTTGTGAAACATGGAAGACAAGCTACATTTTAATTTGACAGTTCCGAAATGTGGTTTAGTCTTATATTATGAGCAGCACTGTTTTAACAGCTGGCGGTCAGCCGAAAAAAATTTACTAAACAAAGTCGAGAATAAAAGAAAACGGAGGAAGTAGTCTGTTTTATATCATACCAACAAAGCTATCAATAAATACATAGTTTCCAAAATAATGGTTATGAGGGCTGGAGGCCTCGGCTTGATTAAACGGGTTACTATAAGGAGTTGTAAACACAAGGTGTGAGGATATATTTACAAACCAGAAACATCAACATTGGTCTTGCAGCACGTGAACCGAGTAACCCAGAAATAAACTTTTAAAAAGGCATAAGTTTTACTGGACGCCTGCAGCAACACCACACAAAATCGCCTGAAGGTATTGGTTTCTTACCCATCTTTTCTTTTTGCTTTGTAAACATGACCGTAGGTACCACGACCCACTTTGCAACCTTCATATTCAAACAGATCTTCTACTTTCTCTCGCTCTGCCGCTAGTTTCGTTTTAAAATCGTAATCCATGACTGTCACTCCATAAATGCATAAATACTTTCAACGTCTGTTGGAGGGGGGAGGAAGGGAAACGGGCTGGATTATTTAAACTGAGCACCGATCATTTCCTTATTTCGTGTGTGTTTTTTTGTCTCTTCCAACAAGTTCGCCCGGCGACATTTAACCATGGGTTTGTTATGTTGACGTTAGCGGCAGACAATGGCGGACCGCGAGGCATGCCGGCATTTGTAGTCCTTAGAGCTTCGACTGGCCCTTGACTAGCGCGGCCGCATCCCGGGCCAAAGACTACAACTCCCGTCGCTCATTGCTGCGGACGGATTTGACCGTTTTCGGATCCAAAAGTAGAGACAGTTAGTCCGAGGAGAGCGGGAGCCGGGTGTGGGGGTGGGAAAGGGAAAGGGTGAAGAAGCACCGGGACACTGAAATCAATAAACAGCGATAAGATATTCGAATACGCAACGGAATAAACCTTCAACATCCCTTTTTGTTCGGGAAAGCTAAAATGCATCTGTTACATTCCCGCCTTCTTGCGATACGGCACTGCGAGAAACGTGACTGACAGCGAAACGAACCAATCGCGTTAGGAATCGGCCCGAAAATGAGGGGGAAGGGGGGAAATGAAATCGTGCGATGGGTTTTAAGGAGGTTCGGGGCAATTTATTTGTAATGTCTCTTCTCGTTTCCTTTTCTCCCCCCAAAACGTGCAGCCTTTTATATTTGAATTTGAACGTCTTTCGGCGCGCGGCTCCACCAACGGTTTCGCCCTGGCCCCAGGTCTCGCGCCGAACATTCGGTTGGTGGTAGTGTTGGGAGCGAGTAGGCACAGCTCCGGCCAGGCTGTTGACGTCACAGCCGCTCTATTGTGCCGTCGGTAAAGGGGGCGGGACAGTGGACTGTTTGGAGAAGTGAAGGGATTGGGTTGGAGCGGGTGGGGGAGGGTAGGGAAGGAGGGAAGCGGAGGTTATAAAAGCCGGCGCCGGCAGACGTCTCGCTGCTAGTCACAGTATGGCCGGCGACATTAGCTAGCGCTCGCTGCACGCAATTCTCTGTGTAGAGGGATCGGATTGGGGGCAACTACAAAACATTATATATATATATATATATAAAAAAACATCAAACAAAAAAAATCTTTTTTTTGAAAAAAATAGGGAAGCAAAGCAGAAACCGGACCGCTCAAGAACCCACTAAAACAGAGCAATTGACACTAACTTATTAAGCTTTTTACCAGAGAGAGGGGAAAAAAAGGGGGGGAGGTTTTTTTTTAAAAAGAGAAAATAGAATTTGTAGGAGGGAAAGGAGAGAGGAGGGGGGGGGAGTTTTTCTTTCCTCTCTCTCTCGTTTGTTTCACGATGGAAAACGGTGCACACTTTTTCGAAGGGACCGAGAAGCTGTTGGAGGTGTGGTTCTCTCGGCAGCAGGATCTGTGCACGGGATCGGGAGACCTCCGGACCATTCCAAGGTAAAATACATGTATCATTAAAACAATAACATCAACTAACAGCAAATGGTGGGGGGAGAAACACACCGACTCAGACCGGGGGGCACTTAAACCCGACAAACGCGCTCTCTATCTTTTCTCCGGCTTTGGGTTGTGTGTGTGTGTGTGTGTGTGTGTGGTGGGGGGTGGGGGGAAGCACCATGTTTATGAGGAGATACGCCACAAGTCTCTCTCTCTCTTCCCAACCCGGGGAAGGGAATCGGTGACAAGGCAGGGAATCCTGGATTGTTCCCTCCTTCAAAAATAAATTTCTCAATTCCTTATTCAAAAATCTGTATTGGGGTGGGGGGGTTTAAGAGGCCAGGTTAATGTGTGTATGGGGGGGCGATGGGGTGTGTGCATGGAGTTGTGTGTATATTGGGGGGGGTCTGTTGGGGATGGGTGTATGAGGTGTGTGTATGGGGTGGGGTGTGTGGTGGGGGGTGTTGTACTATCTGGTTGGGGGTAGGTGTGTTGGTGAGTAGGTGGGTGTGTGTGGGGACCCTTAGGTTGAACGGCCTGACATGGCGGAACCAACCCCCCGCCCCTGCAGATTCCTGCCTGATTTAACGGCGGGCACTGGGTGCGGCCCCATCTCACTCCTCGCCCTTTTGCTGCCCCGCTCCTGGCATTTTCTGCCAAGCTGCACTTTGTGTGTGTGTGTGTGTGTTGGGGGGTGGTTTGAGTGCCTATGCTTTCAGTTAGAAGTCTGGCCACCCCGAGTAACAGGTGGCAAGCCCCGGTTTCTGAGAATTTGGTGGGGCGGGGGGCGGATTGGCTGCTCTCACGCTTGTTCCTGAATTTGAGTCGTGGTCTCATTTGTTCAGAGCTGTACCTTCTCTCTCTATTTCTTCCTCTTCTGACGGGTCAGGGAAGACGTGCCCACTCCTTTCACAGTGTTCTCTCCTTTTAAATGTGCACCATGATTTCTAGGGGGGTGCAGTCAGGCTGAATGCACTCCACGTGTATTCAATAAATTTTTTAATTCATAAATGATTTAATAAATAAATTATTTAATAAATTATCTGGTGAGAGGAGTATCTGTACATGGGCAAGTCGGTGAGTTTGTTCCTCCATGTTTTGTGTTGGATGAAAGGAGGTTTTCTTAGATCATTTTCTTGGTGGGGATGGGGTCGAAATCTATGTCAACGCGCTCTCCAAAATGATTGAAGACTTTTTTGTATATCTTGAATAAGGAAGGGGCGTGTGGTTGCACTGAGCGGAGTTGTCCTTCCTTCTACTCTTTTTAAAAAAAAATGTAGGTGGAAGTTAGGTGTGACTGAGTTTGAGGAAACGCTGCCTTTATATGAGCAGTATTCCAAACTGGGAACGTTGGTGACCAAGGTATTAAACATTGTTGCTCAACACTCCTCAGTGAATGTATGGGGAAGGGGGTCTATTTTTTTGGCGGGCACATCACGTGTTTGGGTCATATAAGACGCAGCCTTCCCCCATCCCCCTGTCGCAGAAACAACATGTTTGCGCCTTTTCCAGTCGGTGGGTAGCAACCGACCCTCCTGGGGTTAAATATGCTGCTTATCTCGGACAGAAGGAGGAGCGAAATTACAGACGCCTTGTTCTTTTTTCCCCTATGCAGCGCCTGGTGTGGCTGCCTCATAGTTCAGCATGACTAATATAAATTTAAACTGGATTCTCTACACAACAGGAATTGTCCTGTTGACGCCCTCGAGTTGGCCACTTTTAAAATACTTAATTCAGTTTTCTCCCAGTACTTTGGCAAGTTCTTACCCCAGGTTGGGGAATACCTGCCCCCTTGTACTCGTCTTTTTTTAAACTTATATACAATACATGGGTGCCATTGTACAAAGGCCGATCGCCTACTCCCATCAATCGATACCGCAGTGCTGAGCTCTTGCAGTCTCATTTTACAGCCGTGAATAGCGCCCTCTCTGAGCACCGGGAAAAGCCTCCTTTTCTTTGAGATTCCTTCCCGCTAATGTGTAGTCACCAGTTCTGCGCTTCCTGCTATTTTCGTATCGTCAGGAGATAGGATTGGTGGTGGGTCTGGTGATGAATGCTTGAAGTCGAATTGCTGGTAGATATTAAAACGTACGCAGTGTTAACATAACGACAAATCTCCGTTCTCAACAAATATGTGAAGACGTGGATCAGCCAAACGTCGTTTGATTTCAAGTGCAACCTGGACTTTTGAGAAGTTTACGTTCATGGCTTACTGAACGCCTGTTTATTTTAAATCATATTTACTGCTTTCGCGCTGCATTTGGGAGGTGTTAACAGGCCATGGTTGAAAGAAAGAACTCATTTAAGACCTTTCACAACCTCAAATTTATTTCATGACCACTAGACTAGAGATTTGAAATAGAGAAGCATTGCAAGGCTCTGCAAACAATAAAATGTTTCTGTAATGTAGTTTGAGGGATGATTGTTGAAAAACCTGTATTTAAATTCACTCAGCACTTCCCCAAAGCAGCTTAATGACGTAGATGTACACTGACAACACTCCACCTCTCGATTTCATTGTTGCTAATCTGACATCCAGTATTGAATTAGCAGAAATATTTTCTAGAATTAAATATTGAAAAGACCGAAGGCATTACTTTCAGCCCTATTTCAAACTCTTGTTTCTTACTGTTCCTCTTCCTCTTCCTGGCAGCAGTTTGAGATTAAGCAGATCTTTGCAATCTTGGTGTTATATTTGATTTTACGATAAGCTTCTGATCTCTGATTGGAGCTATCATTATCATTGCCTATTTCTGCTTTCAAAACATTGCTTGTCTTTGCCGTACTTTATTTTATCTGTTGCTTGAGCGCTCACTTATGCTTTGTTTTATTCTTGGCTATTGCAGCACTTTCACAGCAGCTCTCTCTCCTGTAAATTTAAAATCATCTGAACCTGGAATGATCATGCCTTAATGTCCCCATCTCAATTCTGTGCGTTGCCTTCAGATAAGCAACATCCTGATTTTAAAATTCACATCCACGCTTTCAAATCCCTCTTGGCCTTTCCCCTCCTCCTGTAATTTCTAAATCTTCTGAAATACTTATCATGCTAATTTTGTCCTCTTGCTTCTGAGCTAGAAATCCAGAGGGCCAAGCTGAAGCTGTGGAAATGAGTGTTCAAATTCCAGCACGGTGGCGGGTGCAGTTTAAATTCGATTAATATTCTCGTAGTAATGGTGTCCTTCAAACTGTCAATTGTCACAACTGAATCTGGCTCACCAATGTGCTTTAGAAAATTTAGGTCTGGCCCTCTAATTTAACCATCTACTGCCAGATTTGGTTGACATCACTTCCAATCATTGTTTTTATTCCTGGTCCACACTGTTCCCTAGCTACCAAATCCATCCCCCTCCCTGGCAAAAGATGCATTTATTATTCATCCATCCTTGTTTTACCACTGCATGTGACTGCTGTAATGCACTCCTGGATGGTCTCCAAGTCCTATCATCTGGATTTGGGGTCAACTAAAATTCTGCCTATCTTAACATGCAGCAAGTGTGGTTTTCCTGTCTTCTGAGGCAGTCCCTGGGCCTTAAGACTTGCTTCCACTCTGCTTTAATGGGTTCTGAAATGGCTAAGTCCCATTTAACTGACCAATATCCATATGTTGAATTGAGTGGCAAAAGACTTACAAGTGCTTTATTATGAACTAAACTTAGCACACGCACCACCTTCCACCTTTTCCCTGTCCAGAAGCCAACCCACCACGGCAACAAACAGACTTTCATAATAAACCGACCACTGTGTTAACGAATCTCAACCAGGCCTTTTTTTTGAACAACCCACTGCCAACTTTCCTAATCAGCCAGAATCCAGCTTCTGTTTTAATCAACCTGTTTGTGTCTGTGGTGGGTGGAGCATGAATATGGACCTTCGGGCCCACAGGCAGTAATACTTGCCCATATGTTAGAAGATCGCTAGAATCCTGCTTTTTTGATTATAGCAATCTGTTCAAATGTTATTATACACCTCTGGAGCAGGTGTGACTTGAACCCAGGCTTCCCGGTCAAGGGACAGGAACACGAGCCCTAGGAACTCGGCTCTCGATATTTTTAATCAACCTGTTCAGTTATGTTTTTACATGCCTTCAGACCACGTGGGCATGAACCTGGGTTTCCTGACTCAGGTAGGCACACTAGCACTATGTCACAGAGCCATTATTAGAATACATCTCTTAGGTTTTTTATCAACTGTTGTGATGTTTATTACATACCTCTGGAACTGGTGTGATTTGAGCACAGGCCTTCTGATTCGGAGATAGGTACGCTACCATTGCGTCACAAGGACCTGCTAGAATCCAGCTCTTAAATACAAAATTCAGTGAGTATTACAGCCTCAATCCGCTCTGGAGCTGTTCTGGTTTATCCTTATATTGACAACTCCAGTGTACGATCTGGAAACTATGCCTTATGAGGCACGTGGTGTTTGGAGGATCTAGTGGATGATTTATTAGAAGGCTTGTGCGCTCTGAGCTTTCCATATGTACCTTCTCAACAAAATAGCTGAATGTGTTCTGTGCTTTACCAAGTGAGCCTTCTCCATCTTGGTCAGTATACACCAGAAAGACTCCAACTTGATAAGATATTTGACCTTTCCAGGGATGTTTTGAGGCCATCCATAAAATATTTCCTGGATCCTCTTTGAAGTATGCTGCCAGGATGGAGTTCTGAGTGGAGCAGTTGCTTCAAGAGTTTGGCCTTGGCCATCAGAGTGGCATATATCCATTGTAGCTTGTTTTGAGTGTTTGGTCCCTCAGTGTTGAACTAGTTAGCCTTAAAGAGAATACTGCTGTTGGACCACTTTTCTATCACTGGAGGGTCACTGAATTTGGAGGATCTTGTGACGGTACCATTGGTGGAACTTCTCCCACTGGGCTATGTGAGTTTTGTGAGAGTTTACTTTTATAGCAGAGCCTGTTTCTTTTGAGATGCCTGCTGTAGGTTGTCCAAGTTTTCAAAGGAGTAGAAGCGTGGGGATCACTGCCTGTTAAACCATGAGTTTTTTTTTAATTTGAGATCCTAATCTTCAAATGTTCTTTTCCCCAGTTGGGTAAAGGCTGAACTGAGTCATTGGGGCTGATGATGAATTTTGTTGTCTGTGTGCCTTCACCAAGAGGAGATTTCCCATTTACTGGAAACACTCAGTATTTTCCAGGATATTCATAGAATTATAGAATCCCTACAATGCAGAAGGAGGCCGTTCGGCCAATTGTGTGTGCACTGACCCTCTGAAGAGGCCTTTAGCCTTCCCTGTTGCCCCAGCACCCACCCACTCTATTCGTGTAAACTACATCTAGCATGGCCGATCCACCTAACCTCCATATCTTCAGAATGTAGGGGAGTACCTGGCAGAAACCTGTGCAGACTGCGCACAGTCACCCAAGGCTGTAATGGAACCTGGGTCTCTGGTGCTGTGAGGCAGCAGTGATAGTAAAAGTGGTGTAGTTGATGGAGAATGATGGTCTAGACTAACACCTATTTCTGACATTCACCCAGTTATATCTTTTGAAATTTATCTGGATTTTCAGGTAATTTTGAAAAGAAAAATAAGGATGGAGGGTGAATTATTACATTGTCCTGGGAAATTGTATGTACTGTGTAATGGCTCTCTAAGATCTGTGTTCAATCTCTAAATCATGTTATTCTGTGGAATGTAAACTCAAATCCAGAGCTTTGGGAGAGACAAATTTTAATTTTTAATGTTTTTTAATTCATTCTCAGCATCTCATCATTGCCACCAAAGCTGCCATTAAATGTTTATCCCTAGTTGATCTGAACCACTACCCATATCAAGAAGGTGCTCCCATATCTTAGGTTAAGAAAACCCTTCACTGAGGGAAATAGGCATATTTCCAATTTTATTTTGGTTATCAAGGCACAGAGCTTTCCTTAGTTATCTTCCACTATAACATAGTTTCATAGCCTGTCCTTTGTAGTTTTCACCAGAAAATGTAGATGCGCAAAAATATATTTTATCAACAAATCGCTGGTAACTTCTGTTCTAGAATCATTTTAACATTTTGAGCTGCTTAAGTGTAGTTTTTCCTCTTTTGAATTGAAGGTAATTTGCTGGGTAAAGAGGTTGCAACCTTTGTAAGAGTTGATTGTTTGACTGTGTAAACATCAATCTGAGAGCATCAATTTCTGTCTTGTCACCTGAAATCAAGAACATAAACAGGAACAGCAATTGCCTAGACAGCCTTCTGTCTTGCTCAATTCTACTTGTTCACCTAGTCGCCATATTTCATGTTACATCTCTGAGAGAAAACTCCTCTACACATCAGAATATAACTTCATATTTTTAGATCCTTAGAAAAATTCATTTTTTTTCATTGGGGTATTGATCTCTTTTAATCCATGAGTGCTGAACTTTGTTTTTTCATGCAAGACTGTTATGCTTTGGTTGTCAATTTTGCAGACTAATGCCAATATTCTGTCAATGTTTTCACCATGAATATAGTTGACACGTGATTATTTGAGGGATAAATATTTGTCAGAGCATTGGGAATGACTTCTGTTCTTCAGAATAGTGCTGAGAACTTTTACATGCACCTGATCAAGTAGATGCGGCTTTGATTTGACATCTCATCCAAACATGGCATCTCTGACAGTGCAGTGCTCCCTCAGTACTGCATTTATGTCCGCCTTAGTTTTGTGACTCAAATCCTGAAATGAGACTTGAGCCAGAGACTTTTGCAAACAATTGAGACCTACCTTGTGATTAATGTGGGAGTGCACTTCTGTAGATACGTTAGTCCAGAGGATCAAAAAAGGGGAAAGCCTGAGATGCGTAGACAGCAAATAAGATTGAATGTCAGAAATGTCAAGGTACAAAATGCGAGCGTAATGGTTGTAATAGACAAAGCACTTATCCAGAATTAATATGAATATTAGAATAAGCAACTAATGAAAAACGCGTTTCATGCCATTGCATGGCGAAAAGTCATTAAAAATCAATATTCAGTCCTGAATATGGTAACATGCCCAATCTCAAGGTCCGGTATTATTCCTTACTTGCAATGAGTTTCATTGAACACTGCAGCAGACCAAGAACACACATGGGCATGCCAGCAAGGTTGTGTCTTAAAATGGCAAGAAACTGGGAGCATGGCATCAGCTTGTAGAATGACTGGAGATTTTCTAGATCTCCCCAGATTTTCTGGCCTGCCAACACAATTGAATTCTTTTTTTGATGGCAATCTAGTAAATTTCTTCTGGAATGTTCCTGAATATTTACTCTTTTTAAACCTATTTTGCCTTCAAATGTTGTTATAATATGTGGTATATGGCACACTTTAGGAAATGCTTTTTGACTGTCCAAATATACATCAATCTCACTACCGTCACCAACTATATCCATTAAAGATTAAAAAATGGCAGTGACTTTCATTAGTCACCCAATAGCACTAATTATTTTAGTCCTTTTTATTGTTTCTAAATGTCACACTGACCTTTGGCAGATTATATTTCCTGGGTCTATCCCCAAAACCTTGTGCCCAAAAAAAGCACGCCTGCTCTGCCATTCAATACAGTCATGAATAATCTGCTTCTACTCCACTTTCTCCTACCATTTTTGACTCTGAGATCAAAAATCAATGTGTCAGCCTTAAAGATATACTCTGGAGCATTCACAATCTCTAGGGTAGAGAATTTCAAAAATTTATATCCCTTTGAGTAAATGTATTTTTCCTTCTCAGTCTGAAATGATTAGTCCCTTATCCTGCGACTGTTCTGCTGTGTCCTAGATTCCCCGGACAGGGGAAGCAGCTTCTGACTACCTTGCCAGATTTCTTCAGATTCTCATCTGTTTCGATGACATCACCTCTTACTCTTCTAAATTCCAGAGATGATTGATAGGCCCAGTTTCCTTATCCTCTCAACATAGAGCAACTTGATCAACTCAGCCTCATTTGATTGGTCCCTTTGCAATCCTGCCTTCATTGCAAGTATCTTCTTCCTCAGATCTAGGTTTCCTTGTTGATTGCCTTATGACTGCAGTTCCACTAAATTTCCTTGTTACTCTTTGTCAAATGCTGCCCTGATGTCAAGTGCTGTCACAGTCACCTCTGGAACTCAGCTCTTGTCCATGTTTGGTCCAAGGCTGTAAGGAGATCAGGAGTTTTCAGGTATTGTGAATCAATTGCTGTTTAATGGCATATTGACCTCATCTGGCACTTGATTGAAAATAAACTGGTGCAGTAATTGATTGGGTTAGTATCTGTACTGCGTAACCTGGGCAATTTTCCACATTGCCAAGTAGATGCCACCAGTTGAGGGTCGACTGGAACAGCTTGGCGAGAAGCGCAGCTAGTTTTGGAGCACATTTTCAGTACTAATGTTGGAATGCTGTCTGTTCCCTGAGCTTTTGCTGTATATCTCGTGTGAAATGTGCTGTGTCAAACTACTTCAGTGTGCTGCATTACTTTTTAAAAAGATGATAGTTGTGCAAAGATTAAAATACTTATCAGACAGCATCAGTATTTTTCTTTGACAAATTAAATTTTGTGATAGGTTGTCACTTTTGGAATCTTTCCAAGACTAATGACAGTTTGTCTTTTTTTTTGTAGGTTTGAGTGGGACAAGCTATTGGAAAATGTGCATTGTTTGATCATAAGTGTGACAAAGACGGACAGGCAGGAAGCCTATATACTCAGGTATATGAATATTTTGTTTCTTATGAATCTAGTTAGAATTGAACAGGATATGGGTTAGATTACCAACAGTTTATTATTGCAAAAACAATATTTAGATTAGGAGAAAAATATCAAGGGCTGCAAACTGAAGACTTGGGGTTTCATGCTTAACCATGATAAATGTGTCCATTTCTAAATTTTAGCTCAATTGGTTATAGTGCCTCTCATAGATAAGGGCTCTTTTTATGGAACTGAGGTATTGTTTGAATAGTTACAATACTCCAAGGGAAAATACCAGTTTGCATCATAACTATTTCACAGTTTCAGAATAGTTATGGTGCATGAGGAGACTATTTGGTCTATCATGCCAGCACTGTGGCTGTATTACCTTTTGCTAATTTCCTGCCTTTCCCCCATCCCCCCACACCATTTCACAGTTATAGAGTTTGGAAACGGATCCTTCAGTCCAACTTGTCCATGCCAACCATATTCCCAAACCAAGCTAGTCCCACTTGCCTTCATTTGACCCATATCCCTCCAAATCATTCCTATCCTTGTTCCTATCCTTGTACTTATCCAAATGTCTTTTAAACGTAGTAACTCTACCTGCATTCACTACTTCCTCCAGCAGTTCATTCCAATTACGAACCACACTGCTTAAAACAAGAATTTGCCCCTTGTCATTTTTAAATCCTTTTCCTCTCACCTTTAAGAATATGCCCCCCCAAGTTTGGAATTCTTCCACCCTAGGGATAGGGCCCTTGCTATTCATCTTATCTACGTCCCTCATGATTTTATAAACCTCTATAAGGTCACCCCTCAATCTCCAATGCTCCAGTGAAAAATGTCCCAGTCAATCTCTATAACTAAATCTTCTATTCCTGGCAACATCTTGGTATATCTTTTCAGAGCCCTCTCCAATTTAATAATATTGTTTCTATAAAATAGCAACCAGAGCTGTACACTCTACTGCAGACTGGCCTCACCAATTTCCTCGCATCCCAGTTCTATACTCAACAGGTAGACAAACAGGAGGCTGGAAGAACTCAGCAAGCCAGGCAGCATCTGGAGGAAAGGAACAGTCAATGTTTCATGTATTCCCTTCTTCAGGACAATTACCCTTCAGAGTCCTGAAGGAGGTTAATACCCAAAATGTTGACTGCTCCTTCCCTCCAAATGCTGCCTGGCTTGCTGTGTTCATCCAGCTTCCTGTTTGTCTACCTTGGATTCCAGCATCTGCAGTTTTTTTGGTCTCCATATTCAAAAGGTCTGAACAATGGAGGCAAGCATGCTAAACGCTGCCTTAACCAGCCTGTCTAGCTGTGGCGCAAATTTCAAAGAATTGCATACCTGAGCCTCTAGGTCTGTCTGTTCTTTAACATTAGCCAGAGCCCTACCATTAATTGTACAAGTCCTGCCCTTGTTTGTTGTACCAAAGTGCAATAGCTCACATTTATCCAAATTAAACTCCATCTTCCTCTCCTCAGCCCATTGACCTCTTCTGATGCCCACTTGATTGCCTCAATTGAACCTGCCTCCTCCATATTTCCAGTCAGGCCCTAACTACTTGCAGTTTGAAAACGTATTTTCTCACATCACCCTTGTTTGCACATCACACTTAAATATGTCCTTTCAGGTTTTTTCCTTTTGAGCAGGGAACAGCTCCCAATCTACTCTACTCAGCCCATTAATGATTTTGAAAACCTCGATCAAATCTCCTCTTGCCCATCTCTCAAAGGAGAATGGTCCCAGCTCCTTCAGTCTCTTCGGAGTTGGAGTTTCTCATACGTTGACCCAGTCTTGTAAATCGTTCTGTGCAGTCACCAATGCATTTACATCTTTTCTGTAATGTGCCCACCACTGTATAAAGGGATAGCTGACATCTAGCAAGTCTCTTGTACAAGTTCAACATCACCTCCCGCTCTTGTGCTCTATGTCCCTGTTATTGGGAGCACTGTGCTTTAACTGATGTCTCCCCCATCCTACCACTTTCAATGATCTCTGCACGTATACCCCCAAATCTCTGTTCCTGCGCCCCTTCTAGAATTGTACTTCCTGTTTTATGTTGTATTTCAATATTCTTCCAACCAAAATGCATCAGCTCACACTTCTCTGCCATTTACCCACATACTCCTCCAATTTGTCATTGTATTTAGAGTTCCAGACAATCTTCTTCCACAATTTACAATTCTTATAAGCATTGTGTCATCTGCAAACTTTGAAATTGTCCCCTGCACACCAAGATCTAAATCGTTAACATGTTTCAGGAAAAGCAAGGATCCCAATACTGACCCCTGGAGAGCACCACTACATACCTTCCACTGGCCTGAAAAAATCCACTGTTTTCTGTCACTTAACCAATTTTGCATCCATGTTGCTACTGTCCCTTTCATACCATGACCTGTAACTTTCCTCAAGCCTGTTTAGCACTGTATCAAATGCCTTCTGGAAATTGTGTATTGACATCTTTAACAGCGTTACCCTCACTAAGCCTTTGTTACAGCTTCAAAAAAACTGTTAGTTAAATGTGGCTTCCCCTTCAGAATTTTGTGCTGACTTTCTAATCAACCCACTTTTTTCGATATGATTATTCATTCTATCCATAACAATTGTTTCTAGATCTTGAATAATTGTTTTTAATTTGAATCAACCTGAAAATTAAGCAAGCGATCACATTAATGGCATTTTTAGATTGTGGTTTTAAGCTGCTTGGATAAAATGAAATGCAGGAAAGTAACTTGGAGGACTCTGCAGCACTTAAGCTTTGAGCTTGGGTGATTTTAGTTGCACATATTTCATGGATTTTTCAGCATTATACTGGAACTCAGGAAATCTATTTTATCAACCATAGCTGAATTAAGAACTGAGTTGTAAAAGTTCTGAACAGGTGAACTTTATTTGAGAAGTTGTCTTGATTGATCCTTGTGTCTTATCCCTTCTCTGAGCATTCAACATATGAACTCTGCTTTAAGTTTAGCTGTGGCTATTTATTTCAAAAACAAAAGTTGACAGCCTTGCTGCTTCAGCAATGAAGTCTGCTTGTTCAATTTGATACTGCATAAAATAACAAGTACAGTTAAGTCTAACTTCAAATTTGTTTATGATGGTTGAGTCATTTAGACTTCCTGGATGAAATCTCTTTTATGCAGAACTTATTGCATGTTGGTTATAGTGTTGAAGGTACATGATATTTAGACCCTTGATTTGTATTTTTGTATTGTGTGCTGCAAAGGGAAAGTTCAGTTTATTCTTAATAAAAACAGAAAGGAGTGCAGATGCTGTAAATCGGGAACGAAAACAAAGTTGCTGGAAAAGCTCAGCAGGTCTGGCAGCATCTGTGAAGGAGAAAACAATTAATGTTTTGGGTCTGGTGACCTTCCTCAACTTTGTTCTGAGGAGGGGTCACCGGACCCAAAACATTAACTTGTTTTTTCCTTCTCAGATGCTGCGAGACCTGCTGAGCTTTTCCAGCAACTTTTGTTTTTGTTTGTTTATTCTTAGATTTGTTTGGAGTGTTGTGATGGGCAGTCTGAAGTATGGTGATGGTGCATTTTTAATAAGTTCAGCCTTGGGCTAGAGCTTGAGGCAAACAGTTGGCAATGTATTAGAAACAAAGGTAGAAGGAATAATTGCCACTGCGTACCAACAGATCTCTGATATATCTCAAAGATAGAACTGTTCAGAAGGTCAAGCAATGTGCGTGGGTTTGAGAGTGAAAAAGTGCTGTTAATTTAAGTGTCCAAAAAGTCAGGGCTATGAAGAAAATCCTCAGAGGCTTATAAGAAAGATATCCAGGAACAGAGCTGAAGATGTAGCAAATCCCATGTGTTTGCTCTGAGAGATTTTAGAATGCAAGAGGAAAGCTCCAGAAACCAATTACACCTATGTCAACTGAACAGTAGCTTTAATGTAGCTTTATCTAAGAGGGTGAAAGGATTAAAGTTTGTATTTCTGATATTTCTAATGAGATTGTTTCAAAAACATCTTGATGGTATTCTTTGTTTTGTGTAATAAATTTTTGATACTTTGCTAAAAGTATATTCATAGCTTCTCAAGGTATGTTCCCTTCATTCCTTCCTGCTGTTGCATGGACCCTCCAAGTTCCATGCTCAGCAGCAAGTTACTGAACCAGAGGTCAGTGCATTTACAAGCCAATCAGCTAGTGCAAATCTTCCAAGCAGCTGTGCACTTTCTGGAGAATGTTGTTCTTGGGCATTTTCAGTGACTGACCACATAAACAAATAGGCTATGTATTTTGTTTGTACAATCAAGCTAGCTTTCACTCTCACTTGTCCAATGTTCCCAATAGCTGGGGCAAAGGGTGGACCTCCGAGAGATTAAAATTCATTGAATTTGAGAGAGATCTATGAATCTTTTAAAAACAAGTCTATGAAGGTACTGAAATAAAACCAGGAAAGTTGTTGTGAAATTTATTATGCGGCTTGGAATTGCATCATAAATTTGACTGTTTAAAAACAGAAGAGAAATTTTAAAAAAGACCAATTAGCCTAACATCAGTATTGGGGACAATTCTGGGCTGTTATAAAAGATGTGACAACAGAACATTTGGAATTAGAATCAGGTTTATTGTCACATGACCTCATGAATGCTGTGAAGTTTACAAAGTCGGCGCTTTACAGTGCTGTCTTAGGTAGAAATGTACCTAGGTACAGGATCTTAGGAATAAATTAGAAAAATAAAGAAATGAAAAGTTCAGCGTTACAGTCCTTCAAATAGCCCATGCCTGGACTTCGCCAAATGTGACAGGTCATGATTGTGGCAGAATTCAGAAATAGTTTTGTGGCAGAATTCAGAAATAGT